TATATATATATATTCCAATATTAAGAGTATGGACTACTATTTCCATCTAACTTTCTTTATGAAAACTCTAATCTTGTTTTTTTTATGATACAGTGTTTGCCCTGCCTGTCCTAAGACAGAAACATATTCATTAGATTTGTGAGAAATGGATGTATATGATGGCCTTTAGAAACATTATTATGAGTTCTTCTAAATATAGACAAAAGCAATAAAAACTCCCAAAGCTACGTGTATCTTAAAAGACATCATTGTCACACAAAATAATCCTGCCTCTGTATCCCCAAGGAACTGAAAAGCACATTATAGTCACTGTAACCCTGCTGGGCAGAGACAGTATCTTCTCTGTTCTTTGTTATGCTCGATGCTATCTGTTCAGCATATTAAAAAAAAGAAATCTGTATCTAGCATAATATGTCTGCCTCTTCTCATTCATTTCCCATGAGCACCAAAGGCCAGTTCTTTTTCAGCATTAGTCCTTCCAGACGAGACTCCAAAGCCTGAACAAATTAGGTTTAGGGCTTGCAAAGTATCCTTTAAGTGAAGGTGATAAATATTTCTGTTGTTAAAAAAAAAATTTTATAAATACGCCTTTGTAAATCTACAAGGTCAAAAAGACAGGTTCCAGTCTTCTTGAGTGGGGTACCCTCATCCAGCACCCACTGTAACTGCTGCAGCTACTCACATCCCGACTTCATGATGGATGGGACACAGGCAGAGGCCTGATGTGCACTCGGGACTCAGGACATACTCCCACTCTGAAACAGGAAGTCATCCCCTCGCCAGTACAGGAGGGCGGACGGTTTGGGGCAAGGAAGGTGTGTGTATGTAAGGGTGGTGGTGCGGGCCCCCCTCAGGGCCACAGCTGAGTTCTTTGGGTCCCCCAGAGGCTGGCTCCTGGCCCTACCCAGACCATTGTCCACACACCTCGTCCCTCCAGCTTCCGGGCCGCCGGCGAAATGATTTGCTGCGGATGACATCAGCCCTGGGCCAAGGGCTGGAGGAGCGGAGGCAACCACCACGAGGATGTGCTGGGTGGTCCTTTCCTCCTCCTCTTCCTCCTCCTCCTCCCAGGCTCCTAGCCTAGTCTCCATATAAACGGCACCGCCTCCCCGGCTCCTCACTCCCCGCTCCTCTCTTCCGCGCCGGGAGAGGGCGGAGGGGGAGGCGACGCGCGTCGGGAGGAGGGGGGACGCAGGGGGCGGAGCGGAGACAGCACCTTCGGAGATAATCTTTTCTCCTGCCGCAGAGCAGAGGAGCGGCGGGAGAGGAACACTTCGCCTAGGCTTTAGCAGCGCCGGCAGGATGGCGACCGTGGTGGTGGAAGCCACCGAGCCGGAGCCATCGGGCAGCATCGCCAACCCGGCGGCGTCCACCTCGCCCAGCTTGTCGCACCGCTTCCTAGACAGCAAGTTCTACTTGCTGGTGGTGGTCGGCGAGACGGTGACCGAAGAGCACCTGAGGCGTGCCATCGGCAACATCGAGCTGGGTAAGCAGTCCCGCGGCCCCCCAGGGACGTACGTAGGGAGATGCGCCAGAACGACCCCACCCAGGGCGCAAGGGCCACCTTGTTCTCCCGCGCGCCCCGCACCCACGCCTCTCTAGGCCACCTCCCACACTCCATCTGGACTCTTTTCTGAGCTAGTTTCCAAATTATTCTATTTGAGATCCAGAGAAAGAATCTTTAATAGCCCCGAGGGGTGGGTCACCTGGCTAGGTCTGCGGCTACGGCCGACTTGGCCACCTCCTCTCGTGCTCTGTGAAATGCAGGTGTCAGAGGAGCGGAGGCCATAATAAAACCGCAACCGCAGGCGGAGAAAGGGTGGGGTGGACCCAGCAGAACCTATCTTTTCAGCTCCCCTCTGGCCCTAGCCAAAGGCTGGGACCCTCCTTCCCCTTACCCGAAAACCTGGGGGCGAAATACCATGTGCCAAGGCCCGCACGGGAATCGTCCTTATCATAGCCACCTCGTGCCACCCGCCCCTGACACACACACACACACACACACACACACACACACACACACACACACACACAC